AAGCAACTCCATGTTTGCATATGCAAATTAACTTCTATCTTTGTTGGGCTAATTTACATACTCACTCTGATTGACTGTGGGCGTAGCCATAGCAGACTGACGGTTAAATTGCATATTTCTCTTTTATTAGGTAAGATAGATGCTTAAATGCATAGCTCATCGAAATGGGCAATAGGATAGTAAAGACCTGAGGGGAGAGGTTGGAAAGTGGGGACAAAGGAGGGGATATGGGAATGGAGTATCTGTAATATTATCAATAATAAAAAATTTAAAAAAAACATATTTAAAAAAAGAAAAATATATTCTGTCTACACATCGCAGGTTAATTACAATTTGGGTTACAATGGGAAGCCATTGTTTGTGTAATGACTCCTGCCTCTGTGTTAAAAGTAATAAAATTGCCAATTCTAACAAATAAAAGATAAAAGTCCACACAGACAATTACTGTTTTTTGTTGTTGTTTGCTTTGTTCCTTTGGTGCCAAGACTAAGAACATTAAAAAAAAATTGCAACACAGCAGACCCATCTTTTGCTGCCATCTTTCCCTTTGGCACTAGCTGAGGCCTGTTTGTGATGGAAGGAGGTGAAAGTGTTTCCTCTTACTTCCCTTCAGTAAAGGACCTTATTCCATCAAGCTCTGTTGGGAAATATTTGAGGGCAATATATTTAAAGTTAATTTAAAAGGCAAAGGGTTTTAATGCCTTTTAATATGAGCAAAAATTGATTGCATTAAAAAGCTTCCACGTATTACAATCCAATGATTTATTTATCACTTCAAGCCCATATTATGAGTATAAACTCCCTGTTCAAGCATATTGATTTTTTAAGTGTATTTTGGAAGTGGAGAAGGAACTAAAGCAGGCTAACAGAATTCTTCTTCACCATCTTTAAACAGGACCAGGTCCGCTATGTCAACAGAGACTATTTCAAAACAGTAGACATTTTTTTTTTTTTCAAATAAGTAGAATTAATCAATTAGAAATGTGGGTATATATATATTTTTTAAATAACAAAGAACAGGTCATATTTTTCTAAGCTGCTTTTTGGTGAGTTGATATACAAAATGTTAAATATTTATAATAAAACATTCAAAGTTAATTGCACTAAGCCACTGAAATGCATGAAATATTGAAATGGGTTGTCAACTGTCTTGGAGTCTTTGTATAACATAGGAACTTCTGTATTTGTTAACATGAAAAACTTCAAAGGTTGTATTTATCTTTAGATTCAGAACTCAAATAGAGCTTTATTTAAATTTTACTTAAAATTTAAAGCACTTCTAGTAAGAAATTTCAGCATTGTTTAAGTTAAACATGGAGAGAAAATCATTTTGTTACTTTTTTATGTTTTTCTGTTAAGAGCTTTCTTAGAGTCTAGGTGTTTAATAGAACCCAGAATGAATGTCTCCAAAAATAATTAATTTAAATTTTTGGGATGCTCATTCTGAGTACTACATAAATGTATGGTGATAATTATATCTATTTTTCCTCACTTATGATACAAGGTGTCTTGCATTTTGGTATATTATTCTTTTTTTTTCCCCCTTTAAAAAAAATGACTTGAGAGAGAGAGCGAGAGTGAGAGAGTGAGAGCACATTGATTGAGTGTTCCCCTTATTTATGCCTTCATTGATTGGTTGTTTCTTGTATGCGCCCTAACGGGAGATTGAGCCCCCAATGGTATATTAGTCTTATACTCAGGATTATCTCACTTCAAATGAGGAACTCCATTGCAGAACCACATTTGAATAAAGACTATCACCTGGGGATTAGAACAGGGCTGATTGTCAGTTATGCATGCTGGTATTAGCTCCCTGGTTATTGCCCATGACTAAAAAGGCAACATGAAAGAGTGCTTTTGCTACTGGCATCTGGCTTTTCTGCAGCTGCCCTTGCATCTGTGACAGGGGAGGGAAGAGTAATACAGATGTAAGGTGATGCCCATAGGAGACCCCCAAATCACTGTGGTCAGTAGTCAGAAGCACAAGTCTAAAGGTTCAATAGCTGTATGACTTGGGTAGTTACTTAACATCTTTGAACTTCATTTTCACTGTTCTCATCTGTAAAAGGAGGGATGCTAGAGGTTTAAGTAAACATGTGTGTATGTGTACATAGAGGTATATTTGTGTCATATATCAATATATGTATGACCTTAATATATGCATGGATATATTTAAGATTATATATCTTTTCTTAAGATACATGTGTGTATTCATTTAAGATATATATGGATATATATACATATATTTGCTTACAATTTAATACATAATACACCAGTTCTCTGAAGGTAGTGCTACTCAGGTATTACCTATTATTACATTATCATTTCTATATATGAACTACTAATGAACAGCTAAATTGATTGATCTGATGGTTCTTTTCCTGCTTTGTCTTTGAAGGTTCAAAGTTGTAGCCAAACATCATGTGTGAGAAGTTGAGTAAACAGAATGAGAAGCCCAGAGCAAGGTGCTGAGCGAAGGGACAGGCTAACCACTCCCTGAATACACATACATCAATAAGCTCTTTGTAAAACTGGCAGGCAGACTGGTAAAAGGCTTTTGCCAGGGACTGGCCTGATAAAAGCCCTCATAACAATTGACTTCAGAGCTTATTACTGAAACAGTAGCCTTGCAAGTAAGTATAATCTCATGTAAATAAAAACACTAGGAGGAGAGCTTTGTAAGGACAGAGTCACTGCTGTATGTGAGTCCAGGTGAGTGCCCAGCAAACAGGTGCTCTCACTGTTCTGGAGCGAATGGAATGAATGAAAACCTTGACTTTCCATTAAATCAGGTTGATCACTTACAAGCAAACAGTAGCAGGCTTTCCCACTTCCTGACAGATTTCTGAGCCTGGAAATGCTGGTAAGCAGGTAGGCAGGGCTGAGGAGCAGCCTGTGAAGGGCATACAATGCACATGTAGCAAGGATTTCAAGACGTGGATATGGTTAACTCAGATTTATGCCCATGGGTCACACTTGAATTACACGTATTTAGCTCAGCATCTGCCTAACTTTAGTGTCTGAACTTATACTCCCCCCCCCCCCCCCCATCTTGATTTTCAGGAATTTTTACCCATGACCAAGTATCATAAAATGACACTTTCACTCTGCAAACATTTTAACTTACTATTACATTTCTACTCAGCTTTGACTGACTAATATCACACGACCAATATCACGGGCAGGGCTGCTTATATAGCATTACTTATAATTTAGCTCACAACCTCATAGTGGATTAAAATAATATATTCTCACAATTATGTCTGCCTTAATCAAATCTAAAGACATATTTATCTTTACTGCTATAGCAAAAGTGTTTTGTTTTTGTTGGTTTTTATTTCTGAGAAAAGAAAGAAGTTCCCTTTCACAGCATAGGCAAGCTAATAATTTGGATAAGAAACCATTCATTGGTACACACTGTAAGTTTTTCTAATGATGTTTGTAATGAAAACTGAGAAGCTATTGATCATCCTCAGCTGAGCTATATTCAATTTGACTTTTCTTTCTTTTTTTTTTTTTAACATTTAATAAAAACAGCACACAACTTTAAAGTACATTATTAATAGATTAGACATGATTTCTTTAAATGGTTTACATCATCTCATTTAACTTTGGAACTTGCAGCCATTAACAATGAGTCACCAAAACACTATCGATTGGTAATTTGAATTACACACCGGGCTTAGTTCAAGAACTCTGAGTGGGTCCAGAAGGAAAAAGAAAAATGTTTACAAGTGAGCCATGGCAGAAATATGCAGAAAACAGGTAGGCCTAATGCAATTAGGGCAAACATTCAAGGTCATGTTATTTCAAGGAATGTTTCTACTCTTGAAGCTCCACGTAGAAAGGGCCCTAAGGGTTAAACAGGACGGAGGGCGGTATAATTTGGCTGGGCCCTTTGACAGGAAAGGTAAACATTTTACATGATTACACAGGAACAAACATGTACAGCCACAGATAATGTAGGATCTGATCAACCTTGGAGTTTAAGGCTAACTCACTTTGGAAAACCATCATTTCCAGGATAGAGAGCAAACACTTAACACAGCGTCACCTGTTGGGGCTGCCAGGAAAGACTTACCCGTATTTTCCGGTGTATAAGACGACCCCTTAATAAATATATATATATATATATATATATATATATATATATATATATATATATATATATTTTTTTTTTTTTTTTTTTTTTTACAGTTAAAACAGGTTTAGGCCTATATTCGCTTTATAAGACTACCCCTCACTTCAAAGAAAAGACTTTGCCGTCAAGATCTGCAGGTAATTTTTTTGCAATTTTGGTCTTTTGCCCCTGATTTTCGGTTGACTTTTTTTTTTGTTCCAAAAGTCGTCTTATTCGCCGGAAAATACGATACTTAAAAAAAAAATCAGTTCCTAGGAATGGTTTCACATTCGTCAATTTCTTTCCACTTTGTATGCTAGAAGGGAGGCACTTAAGAATTATTAACTGTAGTTTCAGGAGTACAAGAAAACACTGAGTTTCGGCAGTCTCTGTGATAAATATGGCAAGGAATTAAAGCGAAATTGGATTACAGAGAAAGCAAACACACCATTCAACCAGAACATTTTTTTGCTAACTCTTGCAAAAATCACTAGCCTCTGATTTGAAGAACTTCCTCGCCAAAACAAAACAACAACAAAAAAAACACAAAACACCAAAAAACACAGCAGTTACCAGCCACCTATACACACATAGGCGAATCCTACAAGCTTCCCGATGGTTGGGCTTGGGAGGGCTTTACAATATGGACCAGTTAGTACTTTGATGAGTAATATTTCCAAGTACTGTATCATGCACGGGTCCAAAAACCGTCAGAAAAGCGAACGGACAGCATGAAATCATGTCGCCAGAGTGTATGAAAACGCATAATTAAAATGCTAAAAAAAAAAAAAAAAAAGAAAGAAAGAAAGAAAAAGACCACTCCGTTTCAAACGTGTCAAAATAAATCGCATTCGTGGGTGGACGCCCAGAGGCGTGGGTCTCAGTCGGCTGGCAGGTACTGCACTCGCCACAGCGCGTTGGAGAGCAGGTCCTGGTACACGCACAGGAAGACCCAGCCGGGCAGGTACATGAGGGTGATGAGGCCCATGAAGTTGAGCGGGTAGTGCGAGTAGTCCCAGGAGCAGGCGCCGCAGGCGCGCAGGCCCAGGCCCCAGCACAGCTCCCACAGGTAGATGAAGAGCACGTAGACGGGCACGCGCTGCCAGGTGCGCCAGCCGCGGCTGTAGTGCAGGTAGAAGTACAGCTTCTCCACCACGAAGCTGCAGCTGCCATACATGAGGAAGGACCAGAGCGACGTGTGGCCGCTGCTCGCCCGGTCGCCCTGGCCCAGCACGTCGAAGAAGAAGGTGAAGAAGATCTCATCCAAGAAGCCGTGCATCCCGTAGAAGAGGAAGCGCAGCAGGTCCGGCAGCCCCTTGCTGGGGGCTCCTTCGGGGCCCCGGGGACCGCGGGGTCGGCGCCGCCGGCCACCTGCAGCCGCTGCGGGGGCTCGGGCGCCGGGAGGGACTGGGACGGGGACAGGGGCCGGGGCCGGGGCCGGGGCAGCTCCCGGGCGCGGCTGCAGCTGCCGGCGGCACCGCAGGCGCAGGAAGCGCCGCAGGAACACCTGTGAGTGGTAGAGCGCCAGCAGGTAGTGCAGCGCCAGGTCCTGGGCCCCGGGTGCCCCCGATCCCCCCGGCGCCCCCGGCCCGCCGCCCAGGCTGAGCGGCAGCGCGCGGCCCGCCAGGCTCTGCAGCCCCACGTGCGCCAGCGGGAAGAGCAGGAAATGGAAGACCCAGGCGCTGGGGCAGCGGCGCCGCTGCAGGTAGAGCCGCTCCAGCGCGTAGTGGGTGAGCAGGTGCAGCAGGCAGCGGTAGGGCGACGAGAAGCCGAGCATCCGCAGGTCGGGGCTGGCGGCGAAGCGCCGCGCCGCGGACACCAGCACGTCCAGGGCGATGCCGTGCATCCCGTAGAAGTAGAGGCGCATCCAGGCGGGCAGCTCGGCCGCCTCGGCCGCCGCTTCAGCAGTGGACAGCGGCTCGGGGCGGCCGGCGGCGGAGGCGGAGGAGCCGGAGCCGGAGCCGGAGCCCGAGCCCGCCGGCCGCCGCGCCGCGCCGCCCCTCCGCGCCGCCGGCCCCTTGCCGTCCGCGTCGCCGCCCGCCATGGGCTCCGAGGCCGCCGCGCCGCCCGATCGGGGAGCCCGGAGCTGCGGGGCGGGGGAGCCGGGCCCCGGGCTGCGTCCGGGTCGCCGGCGGCCCGCGGGGGGCGCGGCGGAGCTCCGTGCTGTGCGGCCTGGCGGCGGCGGGAGCTGTTGCGCTCGCGCGGGGAGGCGCGGGCCTCCCGGCTCCGGAGTCCCCGCCGCGCCCCGCTGCGCCCTCCCCTCCGGGCCGCTCACCCCGCGCGGCCCAACAAGCGGGGCGGCCGCGGGAGGCGCTGCGGCGGCGGCGCCGGGGCCGCGCGGAGGAAGGTCGGGGCCGGTGCGAAGCCCATCTTCCCTGCGGCTCAGCCCGCCGCCGCCTCCGCCGCGGGCTCAGCTCCCGGTCCTCGGCTCCCGGGTCACACCTCTCCCGCCTCCTCGGCGCCCCTCCCCGCCCCGCGCGGTCCCTCGGGGTCCCCCCGGAGAAGGCCCGGCCCGGCGATCGGCCTCCTTCCTTCCCGCACCCGCACCCCGGCCCCCCGCCCGGCCCTGCGGGAGGCGGAGGCGGCCGCGGGGCGGAGGCTCCGGGCGGAGGCAGACCTAACAGGTGCGACTGCGAGCTGATTGGCGGCCCCCGCGTCGCCAGAACCGGCGCCGGGGCCTGGCGGGTGGAGGCGCGTGGCCAAGAGCCACAGACTGGCGGCCGGGCCTGAGATCAAGCTGTGGTGCCGTTTCGTGTCCCTGTGCACAGCCAGCTGTGTGCCAGGCCCCGAGAATAAGCGGGAGGCTCCCGGCCTGCCGGCCTCAGGCTTCCCGGCATCTCTCTGAAGCATGGACTCGGGGCCTAGGCTACTGTTTCAATCTCCCTTGCTAGTGGGCTTTCCTTGGTTAGTTTCCCTCCGGCTGAGGGCAGAGATCTAAGTACCTCAGAATGAATGCAATGGCCCGGGCTTTGCCCTGATTTTGCCCAGGCTGTGCCCAGGCTGGGGTGGAGGAGCCTCATAGCAAGAACAGTCCGTACCTTTGCTCACACTGCCACGCCCCAGTGCCCCTTTTCCCCTGTGCAGAACTAGGTCACCCTTGAAATAAAGAATGGGATAGAGGGTGAGGATGATGCTTTACTTTCTGAAGTGGAGATGGTGGGGGAATCCAGAATTGTGGTGTGTTGGGCTCCACGTTTTCTCTAAATAAATAAATAAATAAATAAATAAATAAATAAATAAATAAAATAAAACATTTTTAAATCAGGCTTAGAATTGGAAAGAATCTTAGAGTTCAATTATACTAATACCTACCCCTCCCTACCCTCAGTAAAAGTCGTGTCTAGGCAGAAACTAGGTAACAGTTGTAATCTGCTCTTCAATAAGGAGATCAGATGTTTCCTTGATAGATGACTAAGTACATTTTTTTTTCTTCTCTGAGAATACATTTTCTGAGACAGTTTTCTATTTCCACAGCAGCCTCCTGTCCTTAGTTTTTAAGTTCCTGATGCTCAATTTGTGGTTTCTAAGTTGTCTGTAAATTAGATACGGAGAGCTATAAATATGGTGAGGAAAAAAATGGTTAAGGGGGTATCAACACTCGTATCAGGTCAAAGTACTGGTTTTTATATATAGCATTTCTAACATGTGGTTTATTACAGACTTCCTTTGGCAGCTGTTAAGCGTCAGCGAGAGGATGTTATCAAGCTAGCTACAGAAGCATCAGCTCTTCAAATCTGTTGCAAAACAGGGACAGAGTTAGTCGCCCCAGTGCCTGAGTAGGTACAATGAAGAGAAATAATAAAATGTAATATTTTCTTGAGTGCCTGCTATAGAAGAGATGCTGTGTGCACTGGTAAAGTACAGGATTATAAAATTTATAATTTATCATTCCTGTGTAAAGCCTATTTACTTATGATAGTTATTAATAACTAATTGTGAACAGTTAGTAGTACCTACCAAATAAAATATTTCAAATAAACATTTGAGCTGTTGTTTTATTAAATAAAACCAATCTTGGGCCCAGCTTATCAGATATTAAAAACAAACGCACTCTTTCTTCATCATTGCTATTCAGACAAGAGAAAGCTCTTCAGGATTATAGCATAAATGCAGCCATCCCAATGTGCATATGCTAAGTTCCAAGGTTAAACTTGAATTGTTTTCAAATAGTAAAATAAACTTTAAGGGCCTAAGTCTTCTATTTTTGTTTTAACTTTTCTTAAAAATGTGAGGAAAACTTTGAAAGGTCTAAATCTGTGATTTAGTCAAGTTCCTCTCAGGGTGGCAACTTTGACCTCAGGAGGAATAAAGCTGAGTAATCATGACTGCAGAGATGTCGTAGTTCAGCAGGGCCAACACTGGCCTTCCTGGACTAGCTGGGTTGGAACGGGTAGCCAGCCAGCATGACCAGGGAGAGGTTTGCTATTTAGGAGAACAGCCCTTGGAGGCTTAGGGTCATCTTTCGCTTAGTGTCCACTGGTTCAAGGTTGTAGTGTTTTATTTATTTTACTTTATTTTTTAATATATTTTATTGATTTTTTCACAGAGAGGAAGGGAGAGGGATAGAGAGCTAGAAACATTGATGAGAGAGAAACATGGACCAGCTGCCTCCTGCATATCCCCTACCGGGGATGTGTCCTCAACCAATGTACATGCCCTTGACCAGAATCGTACCTGGGACCCTTCAGTCCGCAGGCTGATACTCTATCCACTGAGCAAAACCTGTTTTGGTGGTTGTAGTATTTTAGATGCCTGGAATGTGAGCCCTTCCATTACATACCAGAAGAGCAAAAAAAAAAAAAAAAAAAGTGCGTGGAAAACACAGCACAAAGAAGAAACTTTAAAGGAAGTTCAATAGAGTGAGGCATGAACATAATGATAGAGACACTATAAAAGACAGCAACCATATTAGCAGTAACTATAAGACATGTCTTATGAATTGGATTCCGCGCGCGCGCGCACACACACACACACACACACACACACACACACTGTTACCTACAATAGTTATCCAACTAAGGAGGACATCCATCCAAGAAGGCTTGCAAGTGTCATGTGCTATCTTCCTAAAGCTGAGTCTGTTGCTTACTATTGTAAGGGACCTCTAACTTGACGAAGATTTAATGGCATCATAGAGCAATGAGGGCAAGGTTGCACTGTTTATGAGGTTTTGGGAGTCTTGTTTAAAATGGGCTTTCCAGTATTTAGGCCTAATTGGAAACGGATAATGAATAATGATACAACTCGAGGCCCAGTGCACGAATTCATGTGTGGGTGAGGTCCCTTAGCCTGACTGGCGATTGGAGCTGATTGGGGCCATCTCACCCAATCCTGATTGGGCTGGCCACCCAAGGGAGGAAGGACTGAAGGAGGTTGGCTGGCTGCGGAATGTTGGCGGTATTGAGTGTCTGCCCCCTGGTGGTCAGTGTATATCATAGCTACTGGCTTGTTGTCTGGTCATCTGGTTGTCTGGTTGTAATGGTTGCTTAGGCTTTTATATATGTAGATGGTTTAGGATTGGTAGACACAGGTTGATCAGAATTTGGAGGTTAGGGTTTTGAAAATATTCAGAATAAACTAGAGACCTGGTGCACAGATTTGTGCACAGGTGGGGTCCCTCGGTCTGCCTGTGGGGATTGGGCCGAGACCAGCCCTCTGACATTGCTCAAGGGGTCCCAGATTTTGAGAGGACAGTTCTCAGATGACGCACCCCAGAATCAGGCTCCCTCCTCTCTGATTCTGGGTGCATCACCTGAGAATCATAGCTGCCAAGTCACTGCAGCTGGGGGGCTCCTGAGTTGAGCATCTGCCCCCTGGTGGTCAGTGTGAATCATAGCTATCAGTCGGACATCGCTTAGGATTTTATACACATAGATGGCAAGCCTCTATGTCCTGGCCCAGTAAAGTTGTGCTGATGAAGACAGTGCATAGTAAAGTCATGTTAACCAAGATAACCAAAAGATAAAGTCACGATTGTGCAGATAGTAAGTTGTGGTAGTGTTTGGTCTTGAGTTTGAATAATCTAATGGTAAGGACCAGTTTGGAATCCAAGAGGGGAATCATTTGAGTAAGGACAGATAAAGATAATGAGGAAGCAGGACTGACATGTAGTTTAGCTAAAGTAATTCTCATCCCCAGTGAGTGTGGAGGGCAGGCAAAGGTAGGGAGATTGACTGACAGTACAAAAGTGAAAAATATTTGGATGCATATATCTATGATTTACTTCATATAACTCTTTTCTTTCTTAATTAATCCTTTTGTTGTTGTTGTATACTAAAGTTCCAAATTAAGCAATTCTTTCTATATATTGCTTAAACAACAGGGAGAGCAAATGGTAGAAGGTGACTATTAGTACTTGTGGGCAAATGTAGAAAGATCATCGAATGGAGTGTATAAACTTTTTAAAAATATGGCCAGTTAGGGGATCATCCTGGAAATCTGCCCTATTGTTCCTATTGTCTATCTTTACAAAACTCTTTTAAGTATACTCCTTTAGTTCTTCTTTCTCATAATCTGATTCTAGGGAGTCACATAGGTATCAGGAAAGTTTCTTTTGGTACCTCTGCCTGGTGGCTCTTTATATGATTTTATGTTATTAATTTTAATTTTAGGCTCTTTCTTCAGTTCTTGGAGCTCTTATTTTTCACCGGGAAATATTGCCTCAGCTGAAGCTTTATATATATATATATATTTCAAACAGGAAGGGAGAGGGAGAGAAAGATAGAAACATCAATGATGAAAGAGAATCAGATTGACTGCCTCCTCCTAGTGGGGATCAAGCCTGTGACCCAGTCATGTGCCCTGATCTGGAACTAAACTGTGACCTATAGTTCATTGGTTGAGGTACAACCATTGAGTCACACTGGCTGGGCACTTTTTTCTGAGATTTCCTTAAGTAGGGCTCCTAAAGAACAGACTTTGATTAAATTCTTTTAATTCATAAAACTTAAAGCAACAAGTTGTTTTGGAAAAGTTTGCTTAAGAAATAAAATGACATTTTAAGTAATATTCAAGTCAGAAACCTCCCTTTCTGTAAAGCTCATT